ATTATTTCGTGAATCAAATATATCCTATGAATTCTGTCTCAATATAAATAATATGAGAATGTTATATTCTGTTCTCTTACATCATGTTGATGTGTCTAATTTTCCATGTTAAATCTGCATGTAGTTCTCTAATATTATATTGTAGATGTTCCATATTAGTTAAATTTACAAATACTAATTCTCTTCCTATAGTCATATTTTCTTTTCTAGATTTGTTACTGAATGTTTTAGCTCTCTCCAGTCTATTGGGTGGGGTTACCATCACTTGTAATCTGTGGTTCAATAGGCATAAGTCCCATACACTTAGGCAATATTTTGGAATTTCTCTATAACTAGTCCTTTCGTCAAAGGATTAGCTAGACTCTGTACGGATCTTAAAAGATACAACCTCATTGATCCTTTAGGAGTTCTCTTACGGTACTGTGCTTACAACGAATCTTTTTGTCATTTTCCGTTGTAAAAGCGGTTTTCAACTTTAGTGATAGCTACGGTGATATCATAATAGATCAACATCGGAGGGACCAGTCTTTGCCATAAGGGAATCACTGACAATAATTCTCTCATCCAAGTTGCTACTTCACTAGCTGTTGCTAGTGCTATCATCTCCGATTCCATAGTTGATTGATGATTGATTGATTGATTATTAGAACTCCAAGACACAGCTCCTCCATCTATGTTAAAAACATACCCACTGGTTACCTTGGAGTTGTTTGATAGAGTATTCCAGTCCGCATCACTATGGCCATCTAGTAAAATAGGAAACCTTTGATAGTGTATTCCAAGATTCACTGTTCTCTTGATGTATCTCACGGTCCTCCCTATAGCATTCCAATGCTCTTTACTAAGAAGCTATTAAACCTGCCAAACAATCCCACGACATATGGAATGTTTGGTCGAGTGTAATTTGTCGCATAATGGATACTACCAATGATGGTAGCATATTCATATTGCCTTACACCGTCACCAGTGTTCTTGAATAGCTTTATACTAACATCATGCATAGTAAATGCAGATTTATAGTTAAAATAGTTATATTTCTTCAAGATCTTCTCTATGTAGCCAGATTGATGATCTAAAGAAAAATTATATGTTGTTCAAGTTATATGGATTCTAAGAAACTTTGCTTCCCCCAGATCTTTCACATCAAAGTTCTCTCTAAGCATGGTTTTTGCTTCATTGACCACGTGAATATTTGTACAAAATATTAACACGCCATCTACATACAAACATATGATAATGCAAGTGTTATTTTCTGATTTGTAGTAAATACACTTGTCACTTTCATTCACCTTAAAGTCATGTGAGAGAACTAGATTGTCAAACTTCTCATGGCACTATTTTGGAGCCCGTTTCAAACCATAAAATGATTTTTATACTTACATACTATTGAAGCATGTTCAGGAATAACAAACTCTTCAGGTTGTTCCATGTAAACTTTTTCGTCTAAATCACCATTCAGAAAGGCGGTTTTAACATCCATTGGTGTACCACGAGATTGTTCAAGGAAGCAAGAGCATTCGTGACATGAATGGATGTTATGCTAGATACTGGTGAGTCTTGAACTTATCAACTGCACCATCAAATCCGCATCTATGAAAGTTAACGATTCCTACAAACTTTTAGGATCTTTGAGAGTGTATATTATAGTAACACAACGTCAGATCCGTCATAGCAGCAACACAACATCTTAAAATTGTTAGTTACATAACAATTGAAACAAGTGTTAACTGAATCTGACTAAGTCGCGGACTAGGTCGCTCTCCTTAAGACGTTCGTGACACTGCCTCTCGTTGCGCACAGTAGACTGTTAGCCGAATCGCCTCCAGGATAAAATAGTCACTCTTGTTGCTCATCGATTTTGTGCGAAGACCCTCATAATAGACCCTCTTTCGTGATGAATAAGTCACGATAATTAAGGAGATAGTCACTCTATTAATTAAAGCGCGTCCGGTAAGATAATTACTACCTAATTATCTATCAAATATTCCTTTTTAATCAATTATCCTCTTTAAGCTCGTAACCGTTAAGGATACAAAATAATTCATTATTAATTAATTAATTAATTTTAGAATTTCTCCATAATATATTAGTCTCAAGTTGAACCACCCGCCAGCCCGCCCAACCAGTCAGACGAACAACGTGCGCATGTGTGTGGTGGTCCATCAGGTCTTCCCTCTCTTATAAAAGTGGGCCACCACAAGCATTATTGCCCCTTAGAGAAAGAACTCAATCATTATACCCATTTGGTAAGAGTTTTCCCACCATTGTATCAATTTAACTATCATCAAAACCAAACTACATATATATTCACCATTTCATTTCCAACATGATCCAATGTTAATCCTTTTTAACTTGAAACCAATCAAGTTTGGGGCGCTTTACCCATTTGGCATTATTTAAGTTGCACATAGCATGATCAAAGATGCAGAAGAGAAGGGTTTGATTACGCCCGAGAAGGTTGGTTAGCAAAACTGAAACCGAGTAATACCTTAAAGAAAGTGTGCCCTCTCCTGGTTTAGCATTAAAATGTTCTAAGCATTTTTTCTATCAATTGGTGTACCATAAAAGACTTTCTCGTTGAGATAACCCATGGCAACCGGGATTGCAGTAGCAGCATCAAAAGGTTACATCGACTTTGTTGCCTATTTGATTCCGCAAGGTTGAAGGCAAAGGGCTTGGATATCGATTGTTTACCCTCTAGTGGGCTACGAAACCCACCCAAAATTTAACAAGAACCGACTTGCTAATGAAGGCCCAGAAAGAGTTTGACAAAATTGGGTAGGGTGACGAAGGTTCTCACACCGTAGGGAGACTTTAGCCCAACACACTTCTAGTATTTGCAATGGAAGTAACTGGGGATGCAAATAAGTCTAGTTTGTAAGAGAGTGGTATAAGATTTAGAATAATCTTCTCTCAATAACTCGAGTTATTGGGATCAACTGGTTTATGATATGGTATCAGAGCAGATTTGACCAAGTGGTCGTGTGTTTGAATCTCTACGACCCCTAATATTAAAAGTTGATTAAGGCACAAGGTATGGTGGGCCTGTGCAAACTTCAAGCTCATGGGTTGACTTTTGTTTGAGGGGGCGTGTAAGAGAGTGGTATAAGATCCAACATAACCTTCTCCCAACAACTCGAGTTATTGGGACCAACTGGTTTATGACAGGAGCCGAGTTTTACCCCAGTTTGAGCTTGGCTCGTTAATAAACGAGCTGAGCTCGAACTGCTTATTAACTAGTCGAGTCGATGAGGGGGCGTGTAAGGGAGTGGTATACCAGGAGCCGAGTTTTACCCCAGTTTGAGCTTGGCTCGTTAATAAACGAGCTGAGCTCGAACTTCTTATTAACGAGTCGAGTCGAGCTCGAGCTAGCCTTGTTTACTAAAATCTTAACTCGTACTTTATACTTCGGTTTGAATGTCATGTATGATACATGTGATTGATGTCATGATGAAAAATAAATAATAATAGTCAAATGTCTAATATTAATTAATCTTATATTATACTTTGTTGGTATCATATTATGTAGTTAATAAATTTTAACTAGTACAAATCATGTTATTTAACAGTATCGAAGCAATCTATGCTATAAAATTTCTTTTAAAACTAAAAAATAACATATATATATTCACACATACTCAGCGTACTAAACTTCATATATAGAGAGATTTATAATTTAACAATCATATCAGTTAAACTCATAAGATATAAATCGATTCGACCATAAGTCGATAATCGAGTTGGCTCTCTAATCACAATGCGAGACATCTCATGAGCTCTAAACGAGCTAGCTCACGAGTTTTGCTCAACGAGCCACCGACCGAGTCGAGCTAGCTCGCGAGCTAAACAAGGCTTAGCTAGTGCTCGGCTCGTTAATAAACGAGTCGAGAGTTTCGAATGAGGTTTTCCCGAGTCGAGTGCCAAATCGCTTGCGAACATCTCGACTTAGCCCTAGCGGTAATTGGTCTAAACTAGGGCTGCAAATGAGCCGAGTCGAGTCGAGTTTTACCCCAGCTTGAGCTCGGCTCGTTAATAAACGAGTCGAGTTCGAGCTCAGCTCGTTTATTAACGAGCCGAGTCGAGTCGAGTTCGAGTTAGCTTGTTTATTAAAATCTTAACTTTTAATTGGTACTTCATTTTGTATATCATGATACATATGATTTATTTTGTTGGCTAATCTCATATTATACTTTGTTGGTATCATATATCATTTAGCTAATAAATTTTAACTACTCCAAATCATGTTATTTCATGGTATCAATGCATAATTTCTTTTTAAAGTAGAAAATAAGATATATTTGCTCACATACTCAACGTGTTAAACTTTATATATGATGAGATATATAATTTAACAACCATATGAATTAAAATTATAAGATATAGATTGATTCGTCCATAAGTTGGTAATCGAGTTGGCTCTCTAGCCACATGTTAAGACATATCATGAGCTCTAAACGAGCCAGCTCACGAGTTTAGCTCAACAAGCCACCGAGTCGAGCTAGCTCGCGCGTGAGTTTAGCTCAACAGGCCACCGAGTCGAGCTAGCTCGCGAGCTGAACAAAGGTGAGTTTGTGTTCAGCTCGTTTATTAACGAGTCGAGTTTCGAACGAGTTTTTCTCGAGTCGAACGTCGAGCCGCTAGCGCGAGCTGAACAAAGGTGAGTTTGTGTTCAGCTCGTTTATTAACGAGTCGAGTTTCGAACGAGTTTTTCTCGAGTCGAACGTCGAGCCGCTAGCGAGCGGCTCGACTCATTTGCAGCCCTAGTCTAAACTAGGGATTTTTTTCTATCTCCCTTTTGATTATCGTAGCACCTAGCTTCTCTTTTATATTCCTTTGATACTTTCTTCCCTTTCCATATCTTCCCTTCCAACGATGTGGTACAAAATCCGCATCCATTCCACATGCTAAACTTATGAGACTGGCCAGCCAGGCCCATGTATTGTCGATGGCAAAGGATTAGATAGTCAATTGTCAACGGCTGCTTCTGGTAGAGATAGGAAGGAAGAGGGATTGGCTGGCCTTTCTTCAATTCAATGGTCATTTTCAGTTCTTGCTGTTATTTAAAATGGCTGACCAAATGGGACCATTTGAACATGGAATCTCGTGCGCAATGGATGAGGTCACAATCCCAGAAAGCAGCCAAAAGAAAATCTACCGCCTTGATGATGATGACCTTATAATTGTATGGGTTAGTTGTTTTGGGGCTTTTTTTTTAAGGGTATCCAACTGGGTTGTCAGTTATCAGTCCGAAAACTCACCATTTTTGTCCAAGAATTTCTTCCTACTTTCCCCCTCAATCTTTCTTGTACCTGGAAGCCCTGAAAAAGACTGTCTTTTTACCTCTTAAGGCCAAGGAGTGCATCAGCCCTGACTGTTCCGTTTGCAGGTTACAGGTAAAGAAAAGTTTTTATCTTAATCCAATTCAGAAGGTAATGTTACAGAAGAGAAGGAAGTCAAATGAGAAAAGCTGGATTTGTATCTATATGCATGTGCAAAGATTGCAGGTTTCCTTACTGTGTGTTGTTTAATGGGTTGTGCAGATTTTTGTTAGGATCGATGGGGGAGAGCTGCTGTATGATTAAGAAAGATGTTACTGAAGTAAGTTCTGGGTTTTTCCTAACTTCATTACCTCAAGTGTCTGTTGCTGAATTGGCCTTAAAAAGATCACTTCAAATTAGAATTGAGATTCTTGTTCAATTTCTGCTACTGCAGCTAATAGGAAACACTCCGATGGTATACTTGAACAATATTGTGGATGGTTGTGGGGCACGAATTGCGGCCAAGCTTGAGAACATGGAACCTTGCTCTAGTGTTAAAGACAGGCATGCGCTATATCATACATGCTACATCTTGCTTCGTGCCCGTTCACTTTTAAGTTACTTGGACGCAGAAAGATTCGTGTTCTAAAGTAAACTGTGAAATTCGTTTTTCCATGTTTTCTAGGATTGCACATAGTATGATCAAAGATGCCGAGGATAAAGGTCTCATAACACCAGGGAAGGTTAGTTTCACCAAAAAAGTAGAGTTGTCATGGCTAAAGGTCCATTCTTGTATTCAGTTTTAATGATCTGATAGTGAGTTTCTCTCTTTCTCGCGCTCAAGTCGGTGCTGATTGAGCCTACCAGCGGCAACACAGGCATTGGAATGGCATTCATAGCAGCAGCAAAAGGTTACAGAGTTATTCTTGTCATGCCATCTTCAATGAGCATTGAGAGAAGGATTGTCCTTTTGGCCCTTGGAGCTGAGGTTGTCCTAACAAATCCAGCCAAGGGCTTTAATGGGGTCTTGGAGAAGTCTGAAGAGATACTAAGCAAGACCCCAAATGGTTACATGCTTAGGCAATTCGAGAATCCTGCGAATCCAAAGGTAACCATTTCAAAGTTCCCCTTTCCTTTTGATGTGTCCTGCAAAAATTTCAGAATGGGATATGTTTAGTTACGATTTTGATCTCTCTCATTTCTGATGATATAGATCCATTACGAAACTACTGGACCGGAGATTTGGAGGGATTCGGCGGGCAAAGTTGATGCATTGGTTTCTGGTATAGGGACTGGAGGTACTGTGACTGGAGCTGGCCAGTTCCTCAAGGAGAAAAACCCAGATATCAAGGTAAGATTTTGGGGTTTCCTTTTGTTTCTGTCATTTGAGCAAAGAAGAGCCTGCAAAGTGCAAGTTTCCCTTTTTCTTTTTTCCAATCTAGGTATATGGTATAGAGCCGGTGGAAAGTCCTGTCTTGAATGGAGGAAAGGCTGGTGAGCAATGAAACTTCTTCTCCTTTGTCATGCTCTACAAACAAGTGCCAAAACTCTTTTAGTTTCTCAAGCTTGTATACCTGACCCTTTTTTCCATTTGCCACCTTCTGCACAAATTACCAAAGCTCAACATAAGATCCAAGGAATTGGTGCTGGGATCATCCCTCCAGTACTGAATCAGGATTTGCTTGATGAAGTCGTTACGGTAAGTCACAATCCGAAACGCCCGAAAAAATGGGTTTTGAACTATTGGTTTTGCCTGCTTCTTTCATACATTTTTTTTTTTGTTATGTGCTTTTCAGGTGTCAAGTGAAGAAGCCATCGAAACAGCCAAGCTGCTGGCTTTGAGAGAAGGGTTGCTGGTTGGGATATCATCAGGTGCTGCAGCTGCTGCTGCAATCAAGCTGGGGAAGAGGCCTGAAAACAGCGGCAAACTCATTGTTGTGAGTTCCTCTTCAAGGAAGCTTTTTTTTTTTTTTTTCCAGTGGCTGTCAAGATAAACCTTTTCAACCTTGCAATACAGGGTTTTTTAATTTTTCTTTTCTTTTTTTTTTGTCTTTGCTTAATTTCATGGTGCAGGCAATCTTCCCTAGTGCTGGCGAGCGGTACATGTCTACTGCACTATTTGAATCCATTAGGAGTGAAGCAGAAAAGATGACTATACAGGACTGAAATTGGCCGCTTCAAGTTTGGAACAAGTTTCCATCTTTCCCCTGAGCAGAAAACCAAACGCCCAAGTCTCAGGTTACCCTGGGATTTCAATACACACCTTGTGGAACTCTGGCGCCATTGTCATTTGACCGAAAATTCTGATTTCTTCGTTGAAAGTTTCCGAATGCAATTTGTTTGGTTTGATACGGCGCTCGTCCTGGATTTGGTTTCCTTAGAGAAGCCTTTGATTGTTTCTACCAGAGACCCCCTTCCTCTTTCTTCTCTACTAGTTTGGCATCGGCGGGAACCTCCTGATCATTACTTCTAAGCTCTTTCCGGTCTCCTCTCCGACGAGTTTCCGATGATGCTTGTCAGTGTTAATCCTTAATCCGGTTGATTATCAGGGCCTAATTAGTAATTACCGCAGTTACTTCTTAACTTATATTAGGGCCGTGGAGAAAGTTTTTGCACGTAGGATAAAGAAAGCTTCACAATTTTCCATGTCATTTACTCATTTATGATTTTAACATTTTAAGTTATTAATTACATTAAAATAAAACTAAATAAGCATGTATACCAATTATCCTGACCTAGATTTAAACCTGTGTAACCTATGAGAGTTCAACCTATTATCATTTCAAGTGTTCAACCACTAGAATAAAGTATATTAAATGTTATTAATTACAACAAAACATGTATATCAATCACTAACCACTAGAATAAAGTATATTAGATGTTATTAATTACAAAACATGTATATCAATCACTAGAATTAGAGGTGGCAATTCTCAATACAATCCACCTATCCAATCCATCCACTTAAATATCCAACTAATCCAATCCATTTAAATCCAATCTATTTGATCCAACTCCAATTGGATCGGTGGATTCATGGATCCAAAAGACAAATTACATTTTAGTACCTAATCTTTTTATATTTTATATTTTGGTACCTAAAATTTATTTTTATATGAAAAATGTCATTGGAAATTATGTTTTGGTACCTAAAAATTTAGTTATGACATTTTAGTACCTTAACTTTTCAAAATTTACATTTTGGTCCAAGGCTTGGATGTTATTTGGATTCATGGATCAATCCACCAATCCATATGCTCCAATCCATGAATCCACCAATCCATATAGTTCAATCCACTTGATCTATGGATCCATCAATCACAATCCACCAATCCATTTGCCACCTCTAACCAAAACTAATATTTAATCATGCAACCTAAGAGATCAAACAGTAATCATTTGAATTGTTTAACAAATATAATAAAATCTCTTTGATGCAAGTAATCATAAGATTAATACTCATGTTATAAAAATATGTACAACACATAACATTTTATTTTTATTTAATGGTTGACTTCTGTACATTACACAACAAAAACTATCACGTTTAAAATTTTGTATTCTATTTTTCAGCAATGATGGAAACCATTAACAACTACAAATAACCAATTTTAATTTTTAGTTTATAATATGTTTGATATTTTTTAAAAATAATTAAAAAATCCGAAAAGCATGATTTAGTTGGTACACATTTATAAACTATTACATAATTTGACATAATTTTCTTTTAAAATTGAAAAATGAAAAAGCAAAGAATAACCTTCTTTCGTATTCTAAAACACAAAGAATTTAATAGTTTGTTTGTACGAACTACTATAAATATGTGAACCAATACAATTATGTTGCAATTTGTTAGAAAATAACTACTATAAATATTTGAACTAATACACTCTTATCACGATGAACAAAAAAAATAACAATTTTTTGTGTGCTTACTAGATTATTCATAAAAATAATGGTTTGTTAAGTCAAAATCATAGTCATAATAACCTATTCATGTAAGATGTTTCTATACTTTATGATTAATGAAACATATCAACATAATTCATTCATATGCTACAGTAATACACAACAATTTCATGTGTTTAAGAATATCACGAGATGCCAATGGTCACCAATTTTTTTTGTATTTAGCGAATTATGGTTATATGGTTTAAATATGTTCGTCTCAATTGGTACATTTCACGCATATTAAAATGATATCATTATCTTTTTCTTTTATACTATTCCAATTTCTTTCTATTTTTATTTTTATACGTGATTAGATTTTCTTCCATGCGCAATTATAAAACACATTATCTTTACTTTTTCCTGGTGTACTTATAATTCATTTCTTTTCTCTTTTTATTGGTTGACATAAGCTCCTTTCTTTTTCCTACGTAAGTGTAGATATGCAACTTTGAGACATGTTCAGATGCATAGCACCTAAATTAAGCAAGATTTCTAAATGAATCTTAAGCTATTGCACATATATAATGGTTGAGATGTAAATAACTATTTTAATCCTTACTTAATGTGATACCCTAATACATATATTACGATTGGTGGTTTCCATCGTACCTTAGTTATAATATAGGACATACCATGAGTAAGTAAATGCTATTAGATCTCGAATTAATCAGATTTTTGGGCATGATACTATACTCTAACCCTTGATGAGTGAATAGGTCTTAGATACCAAAATTATAGAGCCTAACCCCTAAGATTGTGCCCGTAATTTTTGCATATATTTCGACGAATCATGACCGTCGAATTTTATTTGTAATTAAATTGATCTTAGTGTATGAGATTTTTATAGAATCAAGACCTAGATTTTAATCTTTAACAGTTTGGGAATAATACCTGATGCCAAACTCCGGTCAATTCAAGGTCTAGATATCATTTTCTTACTACTCAAGGTATGTCATACCTTTGATTTTACCCAAGATACTTTAAAACCACCCATTACTATAACTATTTTTAGTAACCAGTTATACTAGCCGGATAACCCCACTCATAAGATACACCCGATGTGTTATATCTCATTCAGTAAATAAACATCCATTCATCACCACATGCCATAAACATGCATCATCTTAAACTCAAGGAATTCATATATTCACAACATAAGGACCATCAAACAGTCTCTTGATAACTCATTGTATAAATATGTATTCACCAAGTATCACATCATACTGGCATCACCATGTAACCCTGTCCCAACATAACGAAATATCACACCATCTAATGGTAAATCATTGTATAAAACACCATAGAAAACCATCATCTAACCATCATCATGACATGCAAATTTCGTATATCACGTCATAGGAAGTTATCACTTAACAATATCATAAGTAATTTTTATACAAGGATTTTTTTTTTTTTTGACAATGATACAAGGATTCAATGTCCCTTTACTTCTTAATTTCCAAGTCATACACTTCCCAGGTAGTACACTAGATGCCCTGTATACCACCACGGATCGTTCCTATATTGGTGTCCTGTAAATCCAGTGTGGGATCATACCCTAATTGATATCCTATATAACATCACTAGACGTACCCGGACCAATGTCCTGTAAAACCAACGCGAGATCATACCTTGACCGATGTCCTGTAAATTCATCTATTGTACTGATTACACAACAGAGCGCATTTATATTTGTATGAAGTTATCAAACAATTCCAGTTACAGTCAGTCACACAGCTAATATTGGGTGATAATGTGAAATGAAGCCAAAGTGTCTCTATAACTAACATTTTGGTTTGATATAATTCATAAAATGTTGAAGATAATATAGAAGCATAGCAGCATAGTTTGGTTGTACTTTAATATAATGGTGGAAAAGGCTAGCGAACACTCGAGGTGTAATATACACCTTCGTTCACATCTATTAGTTGTACTTTAATATATTTTGTCAAATAAGAATCGTTGGTTACTATTTTTGCATTAAATGAATAGTATGATTTGGATTAGAGAATTAGATACTGAAGTTCACCCATTAGAGACTATGATATAGCATCATGTCCAAACTCCATTAATACATGGTCTAAATAGCAAAACTCGATAGGAGTACGGTAAGGTGGCGTACGCTAGGTTAAACCACGTACAACATATGAAGCTGAAAATGGTTTGTGAATCAAAGATCAGATGGTCATGAAAACTATTTTCCAAGCGGTGATGAAGTTACAATGTTGTTTGACACTATTGTTGATCATAATTAAAACCTGGATCATATTAGATGAAACACAGATAATATATAACAATAATAAATATGAAAAGTAGGAATCCGATACCATTAAAAAATTACATATAATAGATGAAAAAGTACACACAAATGAAACTCGCCGGCCGCCGCCCATCGGGCGGGACAAAACTAGTTTTTTTTATGTAAGATTGATTTTATAATTAAATCTCTCGTTAGAGCATCCACACCAAAGCAATTGCATTTGTACTCTTTATAGGAGACGTTCCCATTGTTACCTCTGGACATTGCAGTTAATTCGTTTACCACTAAAAAAATCACTTGTTACCACATTGATTATTTTGAAGGAGTTGTAGTGGTTTGTAAGACCAACTTAACCATATTAATTAAATTTGTTTAACTTGGGCTAAGTGGTGGACTTTTGGAAAATCCATAAGTTCATGCCAAGTACCTCAGTTAGGGTTGCACACGAGTCGAGTTTTTGTTTAGGCTGAGCTCGGTTCATTTATAAATTTTCAGTTCGAGCTCGAATTTTGATAATCTAGCTCGAGCTCGAGCTCGGCTCAATTAAAATAATCCAGCTCAAGCTCGACTCAAGATGAGCTCGATTTGAGATTATTATTGCTGAAAATTGTGTACACATAAGATTTTAAATGATAAAAGAACACAAGAAACAATAAATAACAGCTAACTTTCACACACATCGGTATTAACAAGATAATGTTCATGTTCACAAGAGTAATTAATCTTTCCACAAGCTCTAAACAAGCTAGCTCGCGAGTTTAGCTCAACAAGCCACCGAGTCAAACTAGCTCACGAGCTAATCAAGCTGAGCATGGTCTAGCTCAAGCTTGGATCATTTACTAACGACTCGGCTCGCTAGCCGGCTTGTTAACTAAAGAGACGAGTGTTGAACGAGTTTTATCCGATTCGAACGTCGAGTTGCTCGCGAGCGGCTTGACTCATTTGTAGCCCTAACCTCAGTACACGCACCTTACCCCTCGCCACCTACCTACCAAGTAGGTTACATACCCGACCCACCAAGTACCCACCTGTCAAGCATGACATCATCCAAAGGGGGTCGAGCGTCGACCACCCAAGTCGGCATGATAGAGGCGAAATTTGGCTAAGTATGGTGACTCAACCACAAGGGGGTCAAGCATGACATCATCCAAGGGGGGTCATGCATGACATCGTCCAAGGGGGGTAAAGCACCAGGTACCACGCCGCCTACTTACCTTGCAATAGGCTGTCAAACATGATATCGTGCAAGGAGGGCCATCAAACATATGAAGACCCAGGAAAGTGAAAGGAAGGATAATTCAGCTAAATGTTGATACCCAACCACAAGGGGGGTTAACATGACATCATCCAAGGGTACCATGACCGTCTACCTACCTTGCACTAGGGTATCAAGCATGTTGTCGTGCAAAGGGAGCTATAGTGAGTACTAGACATGATGGAAAAAAAGAAGAAAATTTTGGCTAAGTGTTGAGATCCAACCACAAGGGGGGTCAAACATGACATCACCCAAAGGGGGTCAAGTCTGATATTATCCAAGGAGGGCCTCGTAGTCAAGCATTTAGCCACCCATGTACCAACCACCAGGAGGGTCAAGCACTAGGGTGCCAAGCATAACGTCATGTTAACCATCACTGGGTTTGTAAAAGAGCTAGTGGTCAGGTATGATCTTGGCCAATTACAAAAAAGTGACGCCGGAAACAATGGTGGGGCAAGATGTTAACCATCACTAGCGCCATGTTTGAGTGTAACCGCCAGTGTCAGGTAGGGATGACAACAAAACCCGAACCCACGGGTACCCACCCGACCCAACCTGGTCAACGCGGGTAAAATTCGTGTTGATGGGTTTTGGGTTAAACCCGTTCACACCCATATAATTAATTTTCTCGATATATTTAATATTCTAAATAACTAATCTTATTTATGTTTGTGGAACATGTCTAATTTTTCTTTCTAATTGTGTAGAATGAAGTTGATGTTATCGAGTGGAGAGTGAAGAAACTTAATTGAAAGGAAGAAGCTTTCAATTAATCATGTTATTTATGGATAATTTGTGATTTGCTTCAATTTTCTTGAATTTTCTAGATTGGTGTTGAACAATTTGTATAGTTAATTTGTGATTTGCTTGAATTTTCTAGAATGATGTTTTATATATGGATAAGTTGTATTTAGAGATTGATATTTGACTTTAATTTTGATAGGAACTTGTTATTGTAAATTTTTTACGACAAAAACCCGTGGGTACCCATGAACCCGCGAATACCCAGCTAGTTGGGTTTGAGTTTTTCAAACCCAGTGGGTTTTACCCTGGGTTTTTTTCACGGATAAACCTATGGGTTTGGCAAAACCCGACCCAACACGACCCATTGTCATCCCTGGTGTCAGTTCACTCTGCTCAATAGTGGAAGAGAACCGTAAGATGGTGATGGAGACTCGTCAAGTGGTGGCGGAGAACCGCTGATAAATAGAGGAGAGTTTGATGTTGATCTTAAATTTTGAATTGAGGTAAAAAATTATAAGAAATATACTCGAGTATAAACTTCCTTAATAATCATTACGTTAGAAATGTTTAATATCACTACAAAGATGTTACAACCCATCACCAATGTATAAAAAAATTATTACCGTAAAAGATCATAAAAATTAGAAACCATTAATCCCCTCAAAGAAACTTACTCTATAATTGGGCTTTATTCTATCTGGCCCAAAAAAGAGATACCAAAGAAAAGATAGCCAGATAAATAATGGAAAAGGCTGTAAAGAGTGAATTGAGTAAATCAACGAAGATTATTTAAAGCTTACGTGGCATAAATTTTGTAGAGAACAACCATAATATATGTTAAGATAAGATTTAACGTCTCCCTCATCAACCAAACTTATTGAGATTGATTTTATATTATATTTTCTTAATAGCTTTGTCATCCTTTATTTCCTTTAAATTCCTTCTTCTAAAATTTTCTTGAAATTGAAACTATATTTTGAGTTATAATTTTTATATTTTAAATAAAAATGTATGTATTCTACTAAAAAGTAAGACAAAGCTAAATGTTGTATCTCGTATTTAAATTTAAAATCACTAGGACAAATTCGTTATGCTTGGAAAAAAAATCAATATTAGGGTTTCTCTAAACTTAACTTATGTTATGACTATTAACTTATATTATGACTATGATGGAGTTTTTTTTATCACATTAGTTTTTGTAAATGATGCAGCTTCCATGCATATTTATTAAAAGTAATCACATTAACCAGGTAACCAAACGCATAATTAATCCCAAATGACTAAATTACAACGATTCACTCAAACTAAATGATAAAGTAATGACATTAATATGAAGTAGAAAATACATGTTTTCATAAAAATGAAGGAAGTTGTGTTCCATTGCTAAAACATGTACACTTGGGGAATATAATTAAGATTTTAACGATATGCAATCTTCTTTCACTTTAGTTTTTGTCTAAACAATGTTTCTTTTTTGGATGTTTAATTACCAAATATGTGCAATCTCACTTTTGGACCTCCTCCAAGCATATGTTGGTGTTGTGGTGTTGTTATGTCAAAAAAAGTACATCTTAAACAAAAAAAACTATATCACTCCAAAAGTCTCATTTGCTGTAAACAAGAGAAAGTCAAGATATTGTCGCTAAACATCCCCTCAATTCCTTAACACTCTCTTTGGGAAGAGGGGTAAATGGGAGGAGGGTGCAAATGTGAGGGGTAAATACAGTTTCCAACACATTTGCACCTGTTTGGTTAATTTGGAACAGTAGGGGGGTGCAAAACGGGAGTGCAAATTTACTGTTTCGGCTTACCCCCCAAATTGGGGTGCAAGGGAAGGAAGGAAGAGAGGGGGGAGGGGGAATTATGGAATTTTGTTTTTCTAATTGTGTTATATATAATTATATAATAATTAATATTATCAATTTCTTTTTTTTATAAATATCATTAATGTAAACATTATTCGGGGTTGACCATTTGACTCTAGAAACAAGTTTATTCGTCAAGTCAAATCTAAATCTCTTGGTTGAATCGAATTTGCATTGAAAATTAGAGATACGAGGTGTTTGTGGAAAAGATAGAGAGAAATTGTTTGGTTAACTCAGTTTATTTGACTAAATAGTTAAAACTTACAAATTCGAACGTGTTTGACTAAGTTTGACAATTTAAGATTAAACTAGACACGAAAACCCTATATAGGATGACCAGTTACAAGTTGAGCTTCGAGTTTTGAGATCGCTCGATCAATGATTATACAATTGTCATAATTAATTATTATTTGAGCATTATTATATAATAACTATTTTTAGTAAAGTATATTTATTATTATATAGTAATATTTATTTTATTATTTTATGATAATATTTTAAAATTTTAAAATCTATTTTGTAATCTTAAAATCTATTTTTAAAATATATTTTAAAATAATATAATTACTTACTTTTCACTCTATTTGCACCCCCCTACTTTTTCATCCAAACAACAATTTACCCCTCCACTTACACCCCCCAGCAATTTGCACCCCCCAGCAATTTACCCCTCAACTTGCACCCTCCTGCAATTTGCACCCCCCTTGTTGCCAAACAGAGCGTAAGGCTTTGTTAGAATAAAATAGCAAAGTGGACAAGCATTTTCGGGAGTAAGTAAGAATTTATAATGATATTTTTATTTTAGTTTTATAGGTGGTATCATTTGTCACAATTTGAATGGTTGGCATGAAATATATGTGTTTTCAATTTGGAGACACATGTACCATTGAATTGATTGATTGGAAATTCTGCTACCACAAGAATGTCTAATCCTACATTTTCTAGATAAGGAAAAGTGAAAAGGTTTGGTCCACCCATCTCTCTCTATTTCAAATTCTCTAACATCTCTCTAACTTCTCCTTTTCCATTCTCCTGTGGGGTGGCCGCCGGTTTCACCTCTTGGTGACCGGCGGCAACCCTTTGCCCTCTTTTATTATCATTCTCCTTTTCCTTTATGTTGCTACCTTTCCAACCCTTTGATGGGGTTTTTCAGTTCAATTTCGCTACTTTCCTTGTGGATTTTGCTAAGGAACTTCTCTTTGGAGATGTTTCCTCCTCCACACTTCAGATCCGTTGTTGGGTCTTGAGGTCGGTCCGGTGTGCAAAGGGGATTGCTTGTGCAATTTACAACTTTCCTTTTGACTTTTGGAGCCTTCCTCCTTGCTTCACTCTTAATGGCGAGTGATTCGGTGGATATGGCCTGTGGCCTGTGGTTCTACTGTTATCTAGTCGGTTGTAGGGATGATGACTTCTCTGTGAGAT